TGTACACATACAGGAACACAGACCAAGAATGCAGTCGCATGAGAATTCTGAGTGCTGTGAGAAAACAAGAGTCTTGTGCCTTCAGTGTCTTCCATACACAGAATTATTCTTGGAATGTATTTGCATGCTCCTCGCAGGTGTGGAGGATAGGAGTGAGTTTACTTCAGCGGTTGCTTCTCATGTGTCTCTACGGAAAAACATGTTTTGCCTCGTGTGGCTTGTCCTTGTGACCGAACACCTTACTCATGATTCTTCTTAACCCTCAGGTATAAATTGCCTGTTGTTAGGAAAAAAGTTGGCTATTGCATGAGACTTTAGTCCACCTCATTTTTAGGAGCCATGCCACCAACTAGATCGGTAAGCACACACATAAATACAGGGCTGGGGTGTGGCTCAGCGGAGGGCCTGCTTAGTATGTGTCCATCCCTGAGCTCCAGCCCAGCTCACTAGCTTCTGGGGGAACTTCCTTCCTTTTCTTTTCTTTAGGAGCCAGGGTCTCACTAAACTCTTGTACAGCCTGGAACTCTCTATGTAGACCAGCCTGGCCTCAAACTCACAGGAAATCTACCTGCTTCTGCCTTTCTAGTGCTAGGAATTAAAGATATATATTACCTTCTTATTAAAATGAATTTCCATTTATGTGTGCTTGTGTGTGTAGTTTGTGTGTGTTTGGGGGTGTGTGGTGCGTGTGTCAGAGAACATTCAGGAGTTAGTTCTTTCTTTCTACCATGTGGGTCCCAGGGATGTACCTCAGGTTCTCAGATTTGCTGGCAGATGTCCTTATAGCTAAGTCATCCTGCTGGCCTCTGTTCCTGTTTTTAATAAGCTGTCTCTATTTTTATTGTAACAAACTACCCAAACTTTACACCAAACCAACTTTTCAAACAAGAGCAGTCCCAGAGACAAACACCCCGCACAGCAGCTCACGTGTCCTGTCGTAATACTCTTGGTGACCCTGTTAGGACACCTGAAACATCATGTTCTGTTCTGACCCCTGCAGCCAATCTTGGCAGCCAGCTACCTCTGGTCACCCACCCCACCTGTCAGGGTCAGACTGGGACCAGGTGACAGAGCTTCCCAGTAGGCAAGTGCAACTCAGAGTAGAGGCAGCTGAGGCAGCTGCACTCACCAGAAGTGTGTGAGTTGGAACTTGTGACCACACTCCATTGTGCCACACAGGGGGACTCCCTGAGGGGAGAGTCTGTACCTCTCAAGCCTGTCAAGTCGCTAGGAGACTCTTGCATGCTAGGCACACACACTATCACTGAGCCATGTCCATAACCCTTGTCTTCTTCAGATGTGGTGAGCTGAGGCAGGATTTCACTTTGTAGCTCAGACTGACCTCCAACTCCAAATCCTCCTGCTTCAGAAGAGCCTCCCAAGTGCTGAGATTACAGGTGGGACCATGCCTTGCTTCTTCCTTGGCTTTAAAAACTGCTCAAAAGGAATAAGCCCTTGATTCCACCCCCAGCACTACATAAGCTGGGCATGGTGGTGCATGCCTGTAATCCCTAGCAATGAAATGCAAGCAGCAGCACCAGAAGTTCAGGGTCTTTTTGGCTAAATAACTATTGAGGAAGGACTGGGCTACGGAGACTCTGTCCATAAATAAACACCACACACACACACACACACACACACACACACACACACACACACACACACTAGCACAGAGCCCAAACCAAGTTATTCCAGTTCAACAAAGCTTGTTACAACGGACATTGGGAGTGGAGGGAAAACACACCCCACAGCCAGTGCTGGGCCCTTGTCTTTCAGCAAGGCCCTTCTCTGGGAGGCACCACAGAAGGGAAGTGCTGGAATTGTGTAGTCTCCAAGGAACACAGGCTGGAAAGAACACAACTGACAGAGGCAGTATGGGAAAGGACTTGCAGGTAGGAAACCCTAAGGTACAGCAGGCTGTTCCTTGGACTGTCACATGGGAACATGCGTCCTCTTTGGCCTCCTCTATAAAGAAGGTGTGAGGATCCATAAGTCCTGGCGGCTTGCCTAGCAGTTTTTAACACAAGCCACGACTGGGAAAAATGTCAGCCTCACCTGCTCTTATTAGGGAGCCAAGAAACTCTCCTTTGGGGGAGCCAAGAAACTCCTTTCAGGTCTTCCTGCCCTGTCACCTACTAAGCAGAATGTCCAAGCATGGCTAACTGCCATAGCCCAGTAACACCTGAAGAATATTTGCTGACTAAGCAATGTTAAGACTATTCTCTCCACAAATCACTAAGAATTACATGCAAGTATCTGTCTTTAGCCACTCACACTTGGTTCCTTTTCACACAGGGCAGCAGCAGAGTTCAGAAGATATTTGTGCACGGATTTTCTTTCCTTATTTGCAGTGCTGGAACCCAAGGCCTCCTGTGAATTGGGTTAAGTGCTCTACCACTGAGCCACACCCAGCCCCTCACTGGGGGATTCTAGGCAGGGGCTCTACCACTGAGCCACACCCCCAGCCCCTCACTGGGGATTCTAGGCGGGGGCTCTACCACTTAGCTACACCCCAGCTCCTCACTGGGGGATTCTAGGCAGGTGCTGAACTACAACCACAACCTTTCACTGCAGAGAGCTGAAAAACTATGCTCCCCTTCCTTTACCCTCCAAGATGAACCACACCCTTTACCATGCTCTACAGTTGCTCTTGGAATGAGACTGAGAGCCAGCTGTGGGATTAAATCTACAGCCTGCTATCTGAGAAGAACAGACAAGAGCCTCCCAAGTTCAAAGCCGACCCTGGGTTTCTGATTCAAAAAACCTAAGGCAGGGGTGGGTGGTAGCACAGTGATAAGAGCACCTGACTAGCATGGGAAAGGCCTTGGGTTGGACGCCCAGCACTGACACCAACCATGAAACCAAACAGGAGAGGGGAGTCATCACTTACTTTCGGCTCTGTGCTGCTCTTCTTTCCGCAGAAGAACCTGAGATATACTTGAACAGGGGAATCCTCCTCATGGCACTGAAGGGGAACTTCTGATCAAGCTTCAGGGCTACTCGCTCAGAGAGGTCGAGGGAGTAGCAGTAGGTGAGGCCATCTGAGGTGGGTGTATTAAGTAAAATTGAAGGCAGCAGGACAGAGGCAGCTGATACGCCCCTTGAAGACCTAGCTCCTGGGAGGCACAGGTGTGTGCATCAGTCTCTGCAGAGAGCTGAACATCCCCAGCCACACACCTCACAGGGAACAATGCGTGGTGTGCTTTAGAATTCACAATGTAGCCGGGCGGTGGTGGTGGCGCACGCCTTTAATCCCAGCACTTGGGAGGCAGAGGCAGGCGGATCTCTGTGAGTTCAAGACCAGCCTGGTCTACAAGAGCTAGTTCCAGGACAGGCTCCAAAGTCACGGGGAAACCCTGTCTCGAAAAAACAAAAACAAAAACAAAAACAAGAATTCACAATGTACATGTACCTCCTGGGTCTTCCAACCATTGCCATTGGTCACTAGTAATTCTCTTTTGGCTTTTTGAGACAGGATTTCTCTGTGTGGCTCTGTAGACCAGGCTGGTCTCTGAACTCAGAGATCCATCTGCCTCTGCCTCCTGAGTGCTGGGATTATGAGGCATGGACCACCATGGCAAGCTTCAATATGGAGTCTCTGGAAGCATTTTCTCCATGTAGTTACCATCTTTGTTTTGGTCCACCACTGCCTGCATAGCTACAACGGTTATAGCCTGTTCCATATATCCTTCAGCAAATATTTCTTCTGTATGTGTGTACATGCACATGGGCGCAAGTGTGCCACAGTGTATGTGTGTGTGTGGTGGGGAGAGTGGAAGGGTTTGGAGAACAAGTTTATGGAGTTGGAATCAACTCTCCTTCCACCACAAAGGTCCCAGGAATGGAATTCAGCTTGTCAGGGTTAGCAGCAATCACTTTTACCCATCGGGCCACCTTAATAGCCACCCTTCGGTAAATATCAAGCATCTATTTTTATGCCTGCAGCAAGGGGGTAAGTACAGGTTGAGTATTCCTAACCAAAACAGTTTGGGTGAAATATCTCAGGTTTTACAGGGTTATTTGAACACTTGCATATGCATGACAAAACCCACTTCTGCTTCACCGGTACCTCACACAGCCTGAGGTGATTTTACATAGTATTTTGGGTGCATACATGTTCTTACTTCAATTATAGTCAGGCCAGGTGCAGAATGTCCATTTGTGTTCTGTTAATGTTGAAAACATTTCAGATTTTGAAGAATTCTGGATCTCAGAATTCCTAAATTAAGGGGGCTCAATCCCTATCCCTAGATAAGAGTAACCCTGACCTTGTAGCTCAGTGGGGACTTAAGCAGGCTGATTTTTCACAGGGCCCACATTGGATCCCCAGCCCAGCATAAAATGCATGGTTATGCTAATAATCAGGCTATAATCCCAACTACTCTAGAAGCTGGAGGGTTGACTTCAATCTTCTGACTCAGTCAGCTCCAGACCCAACTGCCTTACACCTTGCCTCAAAACTGCAAGAGGCAAGCTGGGTGTGCTGCACACACCCACACCTTTGATCGCAGCACTCAGGAGGCAGAGGCAGGTGGATCTCTGAGTTTGAAGCCAGCCTGATCTACAGAGTGGAGTTCAGGACATCTAGGACTACATAGTGAGACCCTGTCTCAAAAAAGAAGTTACCTTTAGAGGGTAGGGGAATCTAAAGATAGGTTCATAGTTAGGTGTGCAAATTGCTCTTCTAGAAGACCCAAGTTCAGTTCCCAACACCCACATGTTGTAACTCCAGTTCCAGGGGACTTGCCACCCTCTTCTGGCTTCCTCAAGTGCCAGCATGCAGGTGCACATATCCACAGACTTATCCATAAATAAGAATAAATCTAAAAAAAAAGTGCACACGATGAAATTTATAATTGGGGTGTGGAACCAGATATGGTAGCTAGAGACAGTAATCTTAGCATTTAGGAAACTGAGGTGAGTCTTGAGTCTGAGGCTAGCCTGGGCCATATAGCAAGACCCTGTTACAACTCCTTTCCCTCTGAGAAAAAAGAAAATTAGGGGCTGGGGTGTAGCTCGGTATTAGAGTGCCTTTTAGCTCTGAGCTTGATACGCTAAAGCCAGCAAAAATAGGACAAAATCTCGATGGATGGTGGCAGCACACATCTTTAATACCTAGCACTCGGGAGGCAGAGGCAGGGGGATGTCTGTAAGTTTGAGACCAGCCTGGTCTACAAGAGCTAGTTCCAGGACAGCCTCCAAAGCCACAGAGAAACCCTGTCTCGAAAAAACCCAGGAAAAAAAAACAAAAACAAAAAACAACCCAAACTAAAATAGAACAAAATCTCAACAAGCCCAGATCTGTTTCTTAACCCTTCCATGAACATCTCCAGGTGATGGGCATCTCTTCCAATGAACACTGTGTGAGCGCCTATGTGTGGAGGCCAGGTGTTGATCCTCAGGAATTAGGGTCTCTCACTTGATCTGGAACTTACCAAAGGAGGCGAGGCTGGTGGGCCAGTGAGCCTTAGGGATTTACCTGTGTCCACCTTTTCAGCACAAGAATCCATGTTTGAGTTCCAGGGCTATGACTTTTGTTCTCAAGCTTCCCATGAAGCTTCACACTAAAGTTAGCTGAGTAGATTACACCTCAGTTTATAAGGATAAAAAAGTCAGGCCAGTATAATTAAGCTTAAACTGCTAACAGGCTGTGCTGAGCTGGTCTGGGCAGGCAACCATATTTGTATTTTCTTGATGAGTTCTGGTCCAGGGAGGGGAGGAGAGCTGCCCAAGGCTCCGAGGTTTTCCAAGCTGGAACCAAACCCAGACTGCTTGTGTAGGAGCCTAAGGCTGTGTACCTGACATCCCACAACCTTCAAGTGGGTTTGCCCTCTGGTGTAGCTTCACCCTGCAGTTCCCTTCCAGAAAGGATACATGACAGGCCAATCAAAAGGCCAGAGACATTACTCAGGAAGGAGGTCTGAGGAATGAGCCAGGAGGCACACAGCAGCAGCCAGGGCACGAGGACTGAAGGCACCACCACACCAAACACCAGGGCCCGCCTCATCCGAGAGCGGACGGAGGTGACTCCCAGCATGGCAAAAGCCACAGGGGTAAACCCTCTGGCATCCTCCACCTCACCCAGCTTGGACAGCGATGATACAGACTCGAACGACAGGTAGATGATGGCAGAGAAGATGGTAAAGATCAAGGTGAAGAAGCAATGGCGGACAGTGCCCACGGTCCTCTCAAAGTTGCCAGCAAAGCGCCAAATGATGATGGCGCCACAGAGCAGGGAGATGGGGTTCTCATAGACGAAGATGTAGGTCACCAACCTGTAAACTGAAGATGGGCTTCAGTTAATAGTCCAATGCAGCGCTGTTCCAACCAGGGGCAACTAAGTTCCAAGCAAGCTTGGGAAAGGAGCCTTGAAGCTGAAACTGTAGCTCAGTTGGTAGGGCACTTGCCTAGTGTGCACAAAGCCCCAGGTTCCATTTCTAGCACCACATATACCACACACAGGAAGTGGAGGTGCAACTTATGAGCCCAGCACTCAGGAGATAGACAGGAAGATCAGGAGTTCAAGGTCTTTTTTGGCTACACTGTGAGTTTGAAGCCAGCTGTGTCTCAAAAATAAAATAAAAACAGAACAGAAAAGTGAACAGTAGTGTCCACCATTCAAGGCGTAAGGATATAATATAATCTCTGTTCCTTCCTGGCCCTGCAGCAAGGGTTATCAAGAGCAATACCCATGATTCAAAGCGTGTATGTGCATATAATGTAGTCTCCATTCTTTCCTGGCCCTGGACCAAAGATTGTCAAAACTAGTTTCTATGTGTGAAAAAGATAACTTTTTCTGAACTTGTCGAATGCTTTATAACATTATTTTAGGTTTCTTTTAGAGATCTGTTTTTATTTTTTTGTGTCCGCATATGCCACCTGTGTGTAGGTGCCTGTGGAGGCCAGGAGAGGGTGTTGGATCCCCTGGAGCTGGAGTTCCAGGCAGTTGTCAGGTGCCCCATGTGGAGTGCTGGGAACCAAACTTGGGTCCTCTGTAAGAGCAGCAAGCTTTCTTAACTGCTAAGCCATGTCTCCAATCTTCTGTCTTTAGCTTTTAACACTGACCTACCTCACTGGGCAGTCTGAGGGTTAATTAATTGAAACAGCTTTGGGATAGACTGAGTGGGTGTCACTTAATAGAGAATGCTTGACTCCTCCCTGTCCTTCCAGAGGTTGTTCAAGGGATGAAAACAGTAATCATGAATAATTTTTGTGGTTTATAAGGACAATGGCTTTACCATTGATAATATACATAAATTACAAGTCCTCTCTAAGAGCACTTTTCCAGTTTTACAGGTGGAGCTAAGATTTATATGCCATGAGATAGTATAGTCCTTGTCTCTCTCTCTCTCTCTCTCTGTTGTGAGACAAGGTTTCATTATGTAGCCCTATCTGGTCTATAATTGCTATAGAGACCAGGCTGGCTCCTATTTCCTGAAGGCTGGGATTATAGCTGTAAGTCACCATACTTGGCCTTTCTTTGTCCTTTTCCTTTCCTTTCTTTTCTTTTTTATTTTTTTGAGATAAGGTTTTGATATGTAGCCGAGGCTGGCCAGGCCTCAGCCTCAGAGCTGGGACTACAAGTGTCTGCCATCCAATTTGGTCTATACCTTTACTTTTTCTAAATAAAAGTTATTACTAACATGCATGATTTTAAAAAACTTATCTTTATTTATTTGTGGGTATTCGGGAGTGCTCGAGTGCCATGGCACCCTGTGGAGCCCAGAGGAAAACCTGTAGGAGTTCATTACACCAGGTAGGTTCCAGGGACCAAACTACAGTTCTAATGAATCCCACATTGGCACAAACAGGGTTAAGCAAGCATGTGATGTGATGCATGTCTGTGTCCTAGTACTCTGAAGGCTGAGGCTTGAGGCCAGCCTGTGCTACACAGGGAGTATGGCCATTCTGGTCTAAAAAAATTGTGAGACCCTGTTTCAAAGGTTAAAAAAAAAAAAAAAAAAGAGGGTGTATGCCTTATCTAGACTGGCACTTAGCGACTGTAAGAAGTGATACATGGCCGGGTGGTAGTGACACTCAACTTTAGTTCCAGCACTCGGGAGGTAGAGGCAGGAGGATCTCTGTGAGTTTGAGACCAGCCTGGTCTACAAGAGCAAGTTCCAGGACAGGCTCCAAAGCCACAGAGAAACCCTTTCTCGAAACACCCCCCCACCCCCAAAAAAGTGCTACATGTATCCAACACAAATCAAAAAGTGTTAGCTTTAAGCAGGAAACCGTAATACCCCAGTCACACTTTCTCTTGCAGCAGCCATTATTTGCTGGATATTTTCCAAATTGAAATTTTGTTCTTTCAAGACAAGGTTTCTCTGTGTAGTCCTGGCTAGTCTTGAACTCAGAGATTCAACCGTCTCTGCCTCCCAAGTGCTGGGGCTAGAGGCGACATTACACCATGGATCACAAATTAAATGACCCACATATGTATACATCTATGTAAGAACGTGGGAATCGGGGCTGAGAGATGGCTCGGCGGTTAAGAGCACTGACTGCTCTTCCAGAGGTCCTGAGTTCAATTCCTGGCAACCACATGGTAGCTCACAACCATCTTGAATGAGATCTGGTGCCCTTTTTTGGCAAAAGACTGTATACATAATAAAAAAATAAATAAAATCTTAAAAAAAAAAAAAAAAAAAGAACGTGGGAATCATATATCCAAACCCTAGTTCTAAACAGCATACTAAAAACAAAAAGCTGGTCACTCTCTCAATATCATGATGTATCAGCTCCGTGACTCTCTGTATTCAGCCTCAATTTCTGGTAAATAGAGGCAATTTAATATGGCCTGTCATGAAATCGCTGTGAGGGTTACTCGCAATGAATGCACAGGCCTGTTACATTGGGAGAAACAGGAATTTCCCAGGAAAGAATGAGAAAGAAATAAAGACTAGGAATGCTGTCTTTTACAAAAGGATGATTACAGACTTAATTGCTCTGAGAAATGTCTCTCCTCTGGGAAAACAAATACTTTATCAAGGGCAGAACACGGCCCCTTTCCTCCTTCCGCGAGCTGGAATTGAGAGTCAGGATTAAGGTAAAGACTCAGCAGAATAATTCTAGTCTCCTGAGGAAGACCCAGCCAC